ATGCAGGAGAGAAAGTGCACGTCGCGGCCCTATTGCTGACGTGCCGGTTGACCCCGTGCTTTGTCATTCTGCTTTGTGGCTAGCGGCTTATGCTCAGCAATTCCCCGATTTGGGCGCAAACGTTGTTGAAGGGCGATTGGAATCCTGGACGACATTCAGCCGTAACAACTCCGAGCTTGGTTTGTTTGATGCGTTTGATGGGCCACACGCACTGTAGCAATCGAATGTTTGAGACTTCAACATCTGACTCCTCTCCGGCCATATCGGAGAAGGGCACAGTACAGATTGGGCTCTTCAGGCGCTTGGTCGATGCCCCGGGCTTCTCACCCTAAGCCTTCTCAGGAAATCATTCGCCGAAGATAAGCCACATCCAACACGTGCAGAGATTGTTACAGGCAGACAAGCACAGCGAGAAGGAAAGAGAGAGAGAGCTACGTGTCACACATGCATATACATGCATATGCACTTTCTTTAGCTACATACAGACATAGAGAGAGGGAGAGAAAAAGCCTCACAAACCCTAAACCCTAAACCGAAATCAAAACGAACGTGCCGCCGGCCGAGGTTTGGAGCAAGTCTCGGGGAATCTGGATCGAGGACGGCGTCGTCCAGGAGATTTCCAAGGTGGATGTGTGGTCTCCCTAGCTGCAGATCCAGTCTTGCCGGAAAGAGTGCAAGCTGACGGGGACGGGGAGAAGGGGCGTACAACAGGAAGCTGCTGTGAATAGGCTACGCAGAGATTAGAATTTGTCCGGGAAGGTCCAGAATCGAAAACCAGAAGTCGTTTACATGGAAATAGCAACCCGGAGAATTTATTGATACGCACATGCATACGAAGTATATGCATGTATCTGTCTCTGTGTGTGCATGTATGCCTATCTAATTATCGCATTTCTATCCCTATTCATGTTTGCAGTTTGCTATTCGAATGTCGTGCAAGAGAGAAGACCCACAACCTTCAGACCCCTAGCATATCTGTATCGGGGAGCAGAGAAGATGGAGATTTCGTAATTCGAAACATCGCCCCGAGGCAAATTCTGGGTGAGCCCATCTACAAGGGCTCCGTGTTTGTGGTCTTTAACGAGGGCAGCAACTCGAAGTGGGCCTGGCTCTTAGCTCCTACCTGCTGCCGCGCGTGCACACCAGACAGCTTCATTTTCAAGGCTGCAAGATGTATATCTGATTGCAGTCCAGACAGGCTCTTGGAACAGCCTCAAACATGCAAGCTCGATAGGTGCTACAGTCGAGCGCACTCCATGATCGAAAGACGTCGTTCCTAGCCCTCTGCGAGGTTCGCCCGACCGATATCCAGCGGCTTCTTCGGAGGCCCGGGGCTTCTCCGACAGCTCAGGCCGGCGATGGACCAGGGAGGGAAGATGCAGATCCTATGTGCGTGGGCAGGTAGCATCGGATCCCTGCGCCAAGCCCCGCTACCCCAATGGTCTCAGTGTTGAGCTTGGAAGTCTGCGACACGTCTCGTGTTTCTCAAGGCCTTGTGGGCTTAGGCTTAGATTTGGATGCCGAGCCAGGGTTTGAGGATAGGGTTGCTTTGCCTTTTAGTTGTCAGGGAAGAAGGAGTTTAAGGCTCGCCACTCAGAGTTTCAGTCGCCACTTAGAGCTTCAGCGAATCGGTACAAGGAGTTCAGAGTTGATTCACAGGCCAAAGCACCTTGTCTTGGATCCAGAGCCCCGTGCTGTCGAGTGCTGTCGAAGCCCTCAAGCCTTGCCATCGCCGGCAAACTCAAACTCGGTTACACAGGGTTTAGGGTTTAGGGTTTAGGCTTCCTGTTCACGGGATAAACGCAGACACAGAGCTGCCCCTGACACTCAGGAGATCAGCTCGCCAGAAGGGCTACAGATAGACTTCCGGTGCTTGCAGCCCACGTGCCAAGCCCCCTGATCCTTCACCTCAGCATTCCTAAACCAATCGTCTCCGTTGTTCGCGCAGGCAGCTGCCACAGGGAGTCCCGCTGCTGGGGCGGGCACACCCATGGCCCCGGGCACAGGCTCGCGGGTGCAACTTCTTGAGTCCTCGAAACTTATAAAGTTTTCTCCGCTACGTCTTCAGTTGTCCTTGTGATCATTATTGTCCTGGGGATGAATACTTAATAACGTCGCAATCGATGCGGAGCTGTAACAAACCCATGTATCGGCTCGCAGGGCTCGAGCTACTTTGCCGATCCCTTCGCGTGAAAGGAGTTGCACAGGCCCTCGCCTGAAAAAAGTCAACATACCGCATTCGTTCCATTCACATCACAGTTGATAGGCAGGATTGGGGCAGCTGCAGAGCCATGGCCATCAGCAAGAACAAGAAAAACAGAATCAGAAGGCGGCAGCGGCTTCAAGCCGACGTTGAAGAGTCCGGCAGCTCAGAGGCAGGGAAAGATGGAATTAAGGAACATACCCTTAATGGGGATCAAGCGCCTAATGCGGATGCTGTGGCAGAGCTTCAAGAGGAGCTTCGTCAAGCTAGAGGTGATCTGTTCCGGTTGAGCAAGTCCAACAAAGGCTTTCGCAGCTCCAACACAGCCCTTCAGAAGAAGTTGGACGACCAGACCCGGATGCTTGAGAAAGAGCAAGACTTCAATGCAGCTCTTGTGGATGGCCTCCGTCAGCAAGGCGCACGGACAATCTCCAAAGCGTCTGGCAGGTATGAGACAGTTGCTTGCTGGGAGTATCTGGAGCAAGAGCCGGACTCATGGAGACGATATCTCCCGGATGCCGAACAGTCCCTAGAAGAAGCACACGAAAGCAAATTAACTGAATTGATTGTCGGTAGTACGGGCTTCAGGTATCGCATCAATTTGTCTGCCATGATGCAGACAAATGTGGAGACAAGGAGGACGCGTACGATCCGCAGACGAGAAATTCTGCTGCACGCTGATGCTGTGCTCAAGATGACTACGGAAACCCAGCACTTGCGTGGAGAGAACCAGCGATTGACTGTCGACCTCTGCAGGAAGTCTGGCAAGATCCAAGACTTGGAACCAAAAAATCGGGACTTGCAAGATACTATCGAGACCAATAAGGACATCATCCGGAGCTTGAAGGCAAAGATCCGGAGCTTGAATGAGGAGGTCGACGAGTTGCATGCTAGAAACCAGCGAACGGCAGAATGTCTCGTTGAGGCAAACCATACCGCCAGGAAGCTGCAGGTGCGGCAGGCAGAGCTGCAGATAGAACATGCTTCAGTGAAGACGAACATGGACAAGCTTCAGTCAGCATTGAAGCACGAAAGTCAAAAGCTATACAAGACAGTCCTTTCCCAACTTCCGCCGAAGCCGCTGGATGAATCAGCGAGGGGATTTTGCAGAAGCTTAGACGTTGATGATCCGAAATATCTTGCTCTCTTGGAGCAGTTTCAATCATCGATCGCCAGGCATCGCTTAAAACTTGGCTCCGACCTTTGGTGCGATCCAGCAAAAGTGTCTGTGACAAGCATCGAGGAGTTGGTTCACCCTGCGAATCAGCTGCTGTATGAAGCAGCACGTCGTATCAGAGCGAGTGAAGATATCAGCTCTGGCTGCACTCCAATTGCAGGCATCTCTGCCTTCAAGTTCGAGGTCCAGCCGGGTTGGGTGGATATGAACGAGTATTTACTCTACCATGGTACCAGTAGATGCAATGCAGAGCAAATTATGACTCGGGGCTTTGATGCCCAGCGTGGTGGAGAGTTAACAGGAGCGATGTTCGGTAGGGGTGTGTATTTCGCACAGAACGCCTCGAAGTCTGACTTCTATACAACTTGTGATATGTGCGAGGGCATTGGCAACCGTGACTTCCGTCAGTGTCGCCATGCCCAAGGTGAGAGATGCATCTTGGTCACAAGGGTGCTGCTGGGAGAAAGCAAGACTGTCAAGAACAGGGCTGATGCCGGCGGACAGGATCAGATTCGGGCTCCACGGCGTGATGACGGCACATCGTACGATTCCATTACCGCAGTATCAACATCGGAGGGAGGACTGGTAGACCACGAGGAGTTCGTCGTGTTCAAGGACCGGCAGACGCTCGCAAGATTCCGGATCTTCTACCGGCACGACTCCTCATGCTCATGCAACGGCTGCCAGGGCCGCAGATCAGGCACCTAGTCAACCTGCCTCGTTGGCAAGGTCCAACTGGCAACGATGTTTTTTTGTATTGACCTCGCTATAAAAATGGCCGACTTGTGCTTGATGCAGTCTGCCGCCGTGCGCTTGAATGTTGATCCGGCTTCCGAGCTTAACTGCTTAGGGCTTCCCAGCATCTCAAGATACATGTAGTTTAAACACATTTTCTGAGTATTCTAACAGTATAATGTATTACTACAAACACTATACCATGTTGTAGTAGTATAGTATTATCAGAAATGGAAGTCAAACGGCATGGATTGTGTAGTGGTCCACTATGCACGGGGCACCCGACACCTGATGAGTAGGAAGTTTGGTGTTTTTTTCCGGAGCCGTGGTGTCGTGGTGTGGGCCATGGGGGAGTGTAGACGGTGCAGAATCTCATATGAAATCTTCTGTGACATGAATTCTAGTCTGTTCTTTTCTACTGTTACTATACTTTAACATCATCAAGCATGCTTTAATATACAGCGACATGCTATAATGCATCTGGTATCTCAATACGAGACCATCTTTAATGTGCTGTCTACTTTTCGGCTCGGGGTAGGAGCTGCTGTTTTTCATCCGTCCTTCGTGCGTTCAGTCGCTGTCTGCACGTGAAGAACAGGTATGGATGATATTGTTCAGGTTTTATTAGGTGTGAGGGTTTAGGGTTTAGGGCGCATGATAATCTGGGGCGTTTTAGGTATTATAAACATGATTTTGGTAGGAACGATTTGGGCAGATTCTTTGCCATGGCAATCGGCAAGAACAAGAAGAAGAGACATACAAGGCGGCAGCGGCTTCAAGCCAAAGCTGACGAGTACAGGTCAGAGACGGCAGAAGCTGCAGCGTGCGGCAGCTCAGAGACAGCGGTTTAGGGTTTAGGGTTTAGGGTTTAGGAGCATCCCCAGAATGGGGATCAAGCTCCTGATGCGGATGTTGCGGCAGAGCTTCAAGAGGTCCAACAAAGGCCTCTTGATTCAACTCAGGCGGGTGCACAGCTCCAACACAGCCCTTCAGAAGAAGTTGGACGACCAGACCGGGATGCTTGAGAAAGAGCAAGAGTTCAATGCAGCTCTTGTGGATGGCCTTCGTCAGCCAGGTACACCCACATTTTCCAAATCTTCCTGCAAGTATGAGACAGTTGCTTGCTGGGAGTATCTGGAGCAAGAGCCGGACTCGTGGAGACGATATCTCCCGGACGCGGAAAAGTCCCTAGAAGAAGCACGCTTGGACAAACTGCCCGAGCTGGCTATGAGTAGCTCGGGCTTCAGGTATCGCATCAGCTTGTCTGCCATGACGCAGACAAACGTGGAGACAAGGAGGACGCGTGCGATCCGCAGACGAGAAATTCTGCTGCACGCTGATGCTGTGCTCAAGATGACTACGGAAACCCAGCACTTGCGTGGAGAGAACCAGCACTTGAATGCGGTCCTTCGCAAAAAAGCCGAAGAGATCCAAGAACTGGAAAGAAAAGTTGAGAGCGAGGCTGGTCTGTCCAGTACTTGAAGGATACAGCAATTCAGAAGGATCAGCAGCATGCGAAGCTGCAGTCTGAACACGCCACATTGAAGAATCATCTCCATCAGTCCGAAAAGCTTCTGTCAGCTTTGGAGAAGGACAGGCAAAGACACTGCAAGATCATTCTTTCCCAGCTTCCCCCAAAGCCACTGGATGAATCGGCGAGATATGTTTGCAGAAGCTTGGGTGTACAAGATCCGAAATATGCTTTTCTGTCACGGCAGTTTCAATCCTCCATCGTCGGCCATCGCTTGAAACTTGGCTCTGACCTTTGGTGCGATCCGGCAAGGGTGTCTGTGACACGCATCGAGGAGTTGGTTCACCCCGCAAATCAGCTGCTGTATGAAGCAGCACGTCGTATCAGAGCGAGTGAAGATATCAGCTCTGGCTGCACACCAATTACAGGCATCTCTGCCTTCAAGTGCGAGGTCCAGCCGGGCTGGGTCGACATGAACGAATACCTGCTTTATCACGGCACTAGCTGGTGCAACACAGAGCAGATCGTTGCCCGGGGATTTGATGCTCAGCGTGGTGGAGAGTCAGCCGGTGCGATGTTTGGTAGGGGTGTCTACTTCGCAGAGAATGCCTCCAAGTCAGATCTCTACACAACTTGTGAACAATGCAAGGACATCGGCAACCATGACTTTCGTAAATGCGCAAAGTGAGAGATGCATCTTGGTCACAAGGGTGCTTCTGGGAGAGAGCAAGATTGTCAAGAAACTAGTTGATGCCGGAGGAAAGGATCAGATTCAGGCTCCGCAACGTGATGACGGAGCTTCTTACGATTCCATTACCGCAGTATCAAAATCGGAGGGAGGACTGGTAGACCACAAGGAGTTCGTCGTGTTCAAGGACCCGAAAATGCTTGCACGTTTCCGGATTTTTTACCGGCACGACTCCGGTTGTTCATGCAACGGTTGCCAGCGACGCAGATCAAGCACTTGAATTAGTCATGTTGCCTCGTTGGCAAGGTCAGACTGGCCAAAGGGCCTCCATGGCTTTGCTATGTTTAAAGTATCAAAATGAGCGACTGCATGCCAAAAAGTTTGCATCAATGCGCCCAAAGCCCGACTCCAAATCGATTCTCAGGGCCCTAAATCCTAAACCCTGAAGAAACCCTCAAGCCCTACACAAGGCTACCCGGCTCATGCAGATGTGGCGCAGGATCCCGATGACAGGACCGTGGGGCAAAGCTTCCAGACGTTTCGTGCGAGGGATGATTGCGAATGTAGGAGCCTGAAAATGTTCAACAGGGCTTGGGCCATTTTCGACAAGTGTAAGCGAACTCTAAGGAATGGTGTTGGTAATTTGCGGCCTTCTACGTTGCTCATGGGCTTGAGGAGTCTGGGTTTCGGGTGAGGAGTTTTGAGTTTCAGCGTCAGAAGTCACAACGGACAGTCATTCGCGGCGAGTGGACACCTACACAGACCCTGAATCCTAAAACAGTGTAAAGGTCTTGTTGTCGCCCGGATCACGACAATATATCTTAACATCGTTATCTACGGTATGGGAGCATACACTCTGATGTAACCTGCACAAGAGCAGTTCAACATGAGCTATCCAGCATGAGCTTGTATCCATAGTTTGCAATCGTACAGCGCTTAGTTCAGTATGCTATCCAGAACCATAACGGTTCAGTATTCTCTCGGGCACGTTGTCCCGGACTCTGTCGCAGCGTGCTGGCTCCTAGCTCACCTCATTCTGAATTCTACGGCATTTATTGGGTTTGAGGACTTCAGTATTTTGTGTGATCAAGCCTGAATGCGGATCGAACTTCACAAGCCAAGTTTTCAGGGCGCTGTGGCGTCTCGCGGTCATAGTCGCACAAAATTTTGTTCAAGCTGACTTACCTGTTATTTCCGTACACTAAAGGGCCCAAAGGGCCCAAGAATTAGGTACTTGAGCTTCGGAGAGTAGTCACGTAGGTTCAGCTGCGTACATGATGATTAGGAACTTGGACCCATGTAGGGTTAAATGCAAATCCTAAATTATAAACCCCCTAAACCCTAAACCCTACCCTAATGTCTGGCGACCTTCAAGCTGGAAGTCCTCAGGAATAGAGAACTGTGCGGGTTCCTGGTTCCTGTCAGGATTTTTCATGGCACTGTAAGGATAGTAGGGTTTTTAGGTTTAGGGGTACGGGTTCCGTTAGGGATGATGCGATGGCTTCTGGCCTTCTTGGTCTCCGTGGGACATCCGGTGAAGATCTATGATGCGAGCAACTACTCCACCGCAGCTTGTCCACAAGTTGTTCGGCGCAGGAACTATAGGGTGTACAGGGCTTACAGGTCTTGTGGCATACGGTTCAGTGTTCGGGGTGCCTTGCGCAATTTTGTGAACGCTTTGTATTCGCGCAGCATGTGCTGTGCCTAGAAGGCTGCAACACGTACTGATGTCCATTCTACCTTTAAACCGGACCGTGAATCCTTTGGGGTTTAGGGTTTAGGGGTTTAGGGCTTAGGGAACCTCACCGAAAGGCTTGGACCACAGTGACCACAGCTTAATTAATTAGGCCCCAAGAGCCTTACACGAAGCAAGTCATATCTGCACTGAACCTCCGGATCCGGCAACGTGGATTGTTCGAGATGTCTGTAGGCATACGCATGCAGGCCACTTCTGACACGAGCGCGTCGTGTCGGGTTCTCTACTGGCCGCAAACCAGCCGAAAATCGGGTCCTCTTCCCCAAGGGGCTGCCGACTTCTTTGCGGCTTGACTCGAAAGTCATGTGGCTTTGCTACTCAGGGCTTTTGTGGGGATCGAGTTTACGCGGAATCTGCTGTCTACCGGCCCTGGTCTGTGGATGGTTTTGCCAGCATATTCGGCCTCTAGGTGAGCTTGTGGAGGCAGCGAAAGCCCTTAACCAAAGCCCTGCAACTTTGCTGGCCCGACACTGCCCAGGACATAATAGTCACGGATGATGTGAAGCAGGCCCCATGGTTGGGAGCAGAAGGAAAGATGTTCCCTTGCGGCATCGCAGACCACCCGCCTTGCCTGGTCGTGCTTTCGCATCAAGCCCTGTACCGTGCTCTTCAGCTCCCAACTGCTCGACTTCCCAGTGCTCGTTCAAGGTACTTTCTGGAGGACCGGAACTTCCCCCTTGGTGACCTCTCAAGAGAACTTGCGCAGCTACTTGCCGTGTGATTGTTATGGGGCATACTTCCCTAAATCCAAAACGTAGTTCCGTAATTCCTCATATAGGAGACCCTAATTCTACTATATCGGTGCTGTCGACCCTTTGGGGAAGGAAAAACCCTAAACCGCTAAGCCTCGCCATAACCTCTGTGCCCAGGCTCAAGGAAGCAGCGCCCATCGAGTGGCGCCGGGAGGGCATGTCTGCCGGGCACTTAGAGGAGGTCTCCATTTTGCTTATATAAAGCTACAGTATAAAAACATAGTTTAATGTACTCTAAGATTGTATACCGTATACTCCAGAGGAGCTTTTTGGGGCTGGCTTTGAGTTTGTGCAGTTTTATCATCTGGCTTGGCGTTGAGAATTTGCTCGTATCAGGCACCAATTAGTTTTGTTGCTGGCAATATGCTGCATGGTTTCCCGGCTACTACGGCAACCTTAACTCAGCTTAACGAGAACCCAGATTCGTGTCGGAGGGTGGCAGCTCATGCCACATGTGGCTTAGGGCCATGAGTGTTGTGGTTGTCATTGCCAATCGCGTCCTTTAGTCGCTGCCTCTGTGCATTCTGCTGCCCGAGAGTGTTCGGGCTGACTTCTCCGCTGACGGCATGGTAAAGTAGTAATATAGGGGCCTTAATAATTAGAATAGGTTTTGGGGGTATCTTTTACTATAATTAAATTAAAGTCAGGAACCCCCAACACCCTATCCTAACTATTCAGGCCCCTGCATTACATCAGTCTCGTCTAGAACGCAACGGTTCAAACAGCCGCTGTTCGCTCGTACATGGCCAGCAGCCCAGGTCTTTCTGCCAGCTGGTGATGCGCATCGCCAGGCAGCGGGCAGTGTTTCACTCGAAGTGTTGTCCGAGATGAGAATAGACATCCTGCCGGCCGATCCTGTAGCCAAGCCGAGTTAGCTAAGTCATTGCTTCCAGTTACTACTTCGAGCGTGACCCCCTGTCGCGACAAAACTGTCTGTGGTGATGCACGGGTGATTGGCATTTGATGCAGAGGTCGGAATGATTGGACATATTAGCACCTGATATTCCCTGCGTTGTGATCGTATAATATACCCCCAAAGCCTGTTCCAATTATGCAAATCCCTGTCCCTAACCCTCCAGGTACCTACTATATAGGGCCCTCGGGGCTCTAGTACCCTATATAGTAGGTACCTGGGGGGTTAGGGTGTACCATCTTGAAAGGAACGGGAGGAGGCGCAGATCCTCATGCCAGCCAGCGACACGGCAGATATGCATGGTAGTGCAGGCGTAAACGTCGAGAGATCTCATTCTGCAAGACACGGTGCAAGTACAAAAAACAAAGCAGTGATAACCGGGCATGCAGCTTGCTACATGTCTCTTCAAAGTCTAAACCCTGAACCCTAAACCCCTAAACCCTAAACCGTAAACCGATAAGTAGGAGGCAAAAAACCCATAGTGCAGCTTCGACGAGCAGCCAAGGCTATTTTATCGACGATGGAACCTTCGAAACCCGGCACCGGGCCTTCAAGAACTTCACCTTCTCTGCTCCTGGGTCAGAACCCTAATAAACCCTAAACCCTAAACCCTAAACCGCGTTTAGGGTTTGGGGTTTAGGGTTTAGCACGATCCTTTTTTTTGAGGCGGCGGAGGTCAGAGTCGGCTCCTGCAAACCCCCCCTTCGCATCCTTAGGGGTTAGGGGTTGTAGGGTTTAGGGAGACTTCGGCCGCCGTTGCTTTGCCTGCGTCTGTTTCCAGATAGAGAGCTGGGTCAGCAAGGTACTGCTGATGCTGGACTACGACGATGCTTGGCACTATTCGGGTACAGGGGTGCCGCTGCAAGCGAAGACGCAAGCAGTTGCGCCATGATGTTCAAGATAGGATGCGATTTCAGGTTGGCACTCCACCACAAAGCCTGGTCGACTGCATGTCACATGGAACTGTACCCATCATCATCGGTAAGCACCACAAGACGCTTGGCAGCAAGTACATAGCAGCGATTCGTCGTTCATACCTCATTCTGTCCGGCGAGAAAAGTCTATTTTATATTTTATGGGGGATCATGGCGAACGGGCCCAAACAGGTCTTATCATAGCTTTATAGTACAATATACTCTAGAACATCCCCAAACCCCCAACGTTACTGATATCTGTGACCTCGAGACATTATCAGCTTCTTAGGATTGACTACACCCGCTACTTCTCCTATGCGCTGGTGAAGTTCCGAGACTTTTCGGTGGAGCAGGTGGTTTCATTCTCGCATGTGCATTTGTTGCAAAGTTTGGACACGGAGGCAAGATTGTCCCATGATTCCATCACTAATATATAATACATAATTTGTAACGACTTGCCAGAGCTTTATTCCATGTTTCGGGCATGCATTGCACCGCGCACATGATGGCGTAAGTCAAGTCTGCTGTCGCAACCTTGAACGCTCAAACCCATGACAGGTTGCTATAGGGGCTTAAATAATTAGCAACGCTGTTTTGGTACCCCCAAAATCTATTCTAATTCTTCGGGCCCCTATATTCTGCAGCCTGGCCTCCTTTCAGCCTGTTTGACCCTGAATGTGAGTGTCGAAGTTACGAAAGGCCATCAACTTCATGCTGACAGCCCCTGCCGATGCGCTGTACGTCTATGCCAACTCGGTGAAGATTGTACAGGAGTTCTTCTACATGAGGCTTGGGGCTTGTCGCTGGGTCACAACAACCGGTCATGACCGTCATGGAAAGGCTTCCATCAACAACATATGGGTAGTATTAAGATCCCTTGTAGGTACTTTTTAAAAGGTTGCCGTACCGTTTTGGGGAACTTAAGAAGGGACCCTTTAATTTAGAGAACTACTCGTATGAGAGCTGTGCGAACTAAGTGAAGGTCCTGACCTTTTTTGGAAGCTTCAGTTGAAAGTTGGCTGCACAGTACATGTACACCAATCCGCTCACTACTAAAACTATACTCACCCCTGTCGAGCCCTGACGGTAATCCTTATATGTACCCCTGTCGTAATGCTTCTCTGCACATATGCGACGATTGTCTTTCTTCTTCGTCGAACCATGGCTGGCTCAGTGTTGGCTCTGCAGGCTGAGGGGCCACCTAACTGTGACGGTGCCGTCGTGGTTAAGCCATTCTACGATGATCTCTGACAGCGCACCAGAGTCTCCCGCAATCGCCGTTCTTTATGGCAGTGAAGTAAGATGACAAGATCTGTATAGCGGTCTGAATGCTTGGAACGTTGGCCAGGTACCGGCATCCTTTCCATCTTCGCCTGCAGCGGCATGCACAGATGGCCGCTTGGGAACAACCAGCCCGGGAGTACAGTTACACTGTCAAGCCTCGTATTCCGAATACATGTAAGGCACCAACCAGTAACCAGCCGTATCCAGCACATTTCAACGAACGACTATCTAGTCGGCAACCTTCATCCCACAAATCCCTGAACCTAAGCCGTTGCAGAGTGTGGTTTCTGCAACTCAGGCCTGCCACGCACTGAAGAGCCCAGCGCCTGCACTGGTGACTCGAGCAAGAAGGGAGAGTAGAGCCACTGCAAGAGGGGAGATGAACATGTAAAAACATATGTTGTATACACACACATGTACTGTACGGTGGTACAACATGCATAAACTATGTTTGTAGAAGGATTGCTCAAGTTGTCAGAGTTTTGCACAACTTGATGATAGGGGGTCCATTGGCTTTGTTTCTGGGTTGCCAAGAAGCTGCAGTTACAGCAAAGTGTCGGCCGCTGTAGGTAGGCAACCTATTGGGCATGGGATGTACCAGTATATTGCAATCTTCCCCTAAGCACCGTGCCCAACTGAGGCATTCGTGGCCATCTACTCTGCCAAGAAGTCCCTCCACTCTCAGTTTAGGTCTTCCGCTTCTTTCTTCGGTTTTGAGACACTTGTATTTGTACACATGCAGAGTTCCTGGCGATCGAAAAATCAGGAATTTCGGCAGACGCATGGCGCTTCGAGACACCTGGTTGCCGTTGCTGAAGGCTCATGGCCTTAGTCACAAGCGCCCAGGCATGCTTGAGCACAGCTTTGCGTCAACGGAAGAAGAAAAACCATATGTGCAGAACCTGTCCTGCAGTTGCCATACGTCACCAACCCCTTCTGGTCCTCCCCGAGCTGAGCTGTTTTGCTTTTACTGATTTCTGTTGTTCCTGCCGCAGACAACATGAGGTTCTTCCTGGCGGGTACAGAAGTGGACGACCGGTCAGAAGTCGATTCGCTGCTGCGGCGCGAGCGCGATGTGTTCGATGACATGGTATTCTTGACAGGGACGACGGATGAGTACCCCATTGGGCGCAAGGGTCTTGCTGCTGTTTTATGGGCCGCACATAATACTGAAGCCCAGTTCTGGTTAAAGTTCGACGATGATCTATACGTCCGACCACATCTCCTTCTGAATCGCTTGGCCAGTTTGCAGCGTGCGGAACTCTACTGGGGCGCCTTCGACTACAGCGGGATGGTGGTGCGAGACTTGTCCGACCCACACTACACACCCTACGATGTCTGGCCAGAGCCTAGGCCGTTCCTGAGAATCTTGAGTTTTCGGGGAACCACGGTACGCCGCCATACCGACTCGTAGTAATGATACTGTTCCTAAACTCCAGCATTCCCGAATCCCTCATCATACTTGAGCTTTCAAGCTCAACACTAAACCCCGAAACCCTTCAACCCCCAAGCCCGAAACCCCCAAAATCCCCTAGACCCAGCCGAGGAGCCGGTGTTCCCTGCCTATGCTCGAGGTGCCGCTCTGGCGATGTCTATGGACCTCGTGCGCTTGATCGCTGAGCACGAAGAGAAGCAGCCTTTCAAGAAGATCCGGGTGGGATCTCAGCCCAAAACCAGACCATGGACTTGTTCTTTGGGTAGAAAGGAACATGGATGTGGGACTTTCTTCACTAAATCCGAGAGAACCTGTGGGTTAGTCGGGCTTTCCCATGTCCACTCCCCTCCTGTAGCATGGGCGTCTGCCCACTATCATAGCGACCTCCGGTACAAGCTGTTTTTCTGTGCTTCGAATATAGGGGCCTGAATGATTAGAAAAGGCTTTTTTGGGTACATGTTTTGTTCAACCAATACAGACTACAAGGGGATGTTATTGTTTCGGTTGCCTGCCCTGACCAGGTCGAAGATGTCTCCTATGGCTTTTACCTTTGGCAGCTGACCTATGACAGGAAGGTTACCTCTGTGACCATCTTCGACCGGGACGAGGCCTCGGTCATGTACTGTTAGACTGTATGGTTTACGACATCATCCCTCATGGTCCTTACATAAGCATACTACAAGATACGCCGGCATTCTAGTCTAAGCTTCAAGCCTGCGAAATCATGCTCAATCAGACTTCGTGCTTTGCAGTATTTTGCGGGTAGAGGCTCGTCTCGGATGGATGCCTGCACAAGCTGTCCAGTGAGAGACCGTGAGGACCATTTCGCCATGGATGCCAAGTGCTGCACAGAGGTTGCGGCCTTAGGGCACAGAAGCCAGCGAGTGAAGGACGTGTGTTCGTGGTGGATGTTATGGAGTGCAGTGTGTGGTTCGGGGTGTATACGTCAGCTTACATGCAGATTGGTGCGTCGCAAGGCAAGGTTGCAATAACAGAGTTCTGCCTGGACCAGCCCGCACCCTTGTCGCTTCAAGCTGCACTGCTCCTTGCCGAGACAACGCACCCGAACAACTGCTGGCTGCCCCTCAACGAGTGCCTCGTCCAGTTCGGTTTGGTTTTGGTCGTGCCAGACTGGAAGATGGTCTTACGGAACATTTGAAGCTTCGAGAGGCTTGAACCGAGTTGAAGCCTAGAGAAACTGAGTCAAGCTTTTAATAGATCGATGTCGGCGGGGTGTTGCTGTCAGGAAGACGTGGATCGCCCACCACGTCACTCCCAGCACCATCCGCTGCATGTTTGCGAAGGACTCCGGGCAATGTCAGCCGCATTCAATTCGGTGGTGGTGAGTCTTCAGTGGCTTAGATCCAGGCTTGAGCTTGAGAAGTCGATCAAAGATGGCACTCTCCAAAAACATGCGAAGTACCTATAGTCCGTATTGTAGTTCCTTTTTGGGGTTATCTTTTAGAATCCTTAATATAAATGCGGTTAAACCAAAAAAGGAACCACAATGGAGACTATAGGTAGAATGCCGCCCTGGAGGATGTGGGATCTGGGTTCTACACCCCATCAAGCTCAGAGGCACGAAGCATGTGCCTTGGATCTTAGGGTTCAGGGTTTGAGGTTTAGAAAGTTTAGGGTTTGGATCTGAACCATCGCAGTGTCAGTTTTGAGAGACTTGGAACGAGATTTTGTGGAAGTCTTCAGCCAGGGGCGAGATTTCACAGGTGGGTGCACGTGCGAGAGAGCCCAGCGACCTCATGAAAGCCCGTGTCCCCATTAGGGTTTAGGGTTTAGGGTTTAGGGTTTAGGGTTTAGGGTTAGGGTTTACTTCCAACTCCCTTACAAACTGAAACGCCTACGAACGGGGAGTATGAGACCTCAGTAAGGGGCACCTGTGAAGCGTAAGCCCAACTCCAAGCAAAGGACCGGGCTTCTGGCCGAGATGGCGGCGTTCGACTCGCACGTCCAATCCGCCGCCGGCACCATTCAAGGAGGCACTGAACCCTTAAAAAATCCCTACATACCCAAAATTTCGAAAACCCCATGAAACCGGTTTGTAACTCTCACCATTACAAAGTCCCTAAACTATCCAAACAACCCTAAACCCTAAACCTGAAATTGGAGAGTCTAAACCTCAAAATAGGTAAGATCCCGGCTGCCGGGGCTGGACCTCCTGCGGACCTTTGCGGGTGTGTGGTCACCCCGCCTGCGCACCCAGGCAAGCCCCTGCGGCTGGCTTGCGCTTCAGTAGACGTTTTTCTTTAGCTGCGGTGCCCTGAGGGATTGCATTTTGCATGCTGCGCTCCATAAAAATATATATATATATATATGCTTATACACATAATTTTTGGTGTAAGCATATGTACATGTATGTATATGTGTTTCTATTCATATCTACATTTTCTTTTCCTAAGCATATGACCTCAGACTTAAAGATTCAGAAGAGCCCAGGCAGCGGGGCGGCATGACGGAGCTGAGTAGTGGACCGAGGCTTCACGTCGGATAGCGGCGCGCGCTGTCCAAAAAAGGGGGGTGCTGAGCTCCCTCGGTTATGTGTATGCTTTGTATGAGGTGTTTAGATACTTATACACTTAGTAGTTCCTTATGGTTCATTGTTGTAATTATTACCACGGCTACGATTTCAACGATCATTGGTATGTAGGATTTTTGTTGCCATTGCATAGGACTCGAAGTGTAGAACCGTCGAGCGTTCTTCGCCCAGAAGCTTACGGGTTCAGGCAAGCTTGAAGCTCCTGGCAGCAGCGGCCTGCCCTAAAACCCCTAAGCCCTGAACCCCTAAACCCCCTAAACCCTTAAACCCTAATCCCTATAGCTAATTAGCCCCTAAACCCTATATACCCTAAACCCCGTCAGCTGGGCGGGTGGGAAAAACCGAACCCCTGAACCTTCAACCCGGAAACCCCTGAACCCGAATCCCTCTCATTGGGACACAGGACCGCCGAGCTTCAGGCCATCCACCAAGCTTTCCAGAAGGACAAGCTGAGCTATTGCGACGAGTCCTTCCCTCCAACAAAACAGGGCCTGGCACTCAGGGTTTAGGGTTTAGGGTCCAACAAAACAGGGCCTGGCACTCACGGTTTAGGGTCTAGGGGGCTTAGGGCTTAGAGGGCCACTTCGAAGTTGCTTTGGGGTGGGTGTCTGCCTGAAACTGCATGGCGAAAGACATTCCGAGAAGACGTGAGCTCGACCGTTGCTTCGAGTGGACCTCCAAACACTGCAAGCTGAGGCCGCGTCTCGAGGTGGTGCAGGCTCGTGAATCCACGCTCTTCTTGTATGGAAGGTAGCTCATGAAACGGGAATGAAGCCGCTGAAAGCACGAAGGGTTCCCCTGCTTATTGCTCTCGCACCGTGATCCCGGAGGCCTCACGAAATCGGTGCCCACGACGACCGCATCCTTTGGCGTCGCGAGGACACTTCGTAGCCCTAAATCGGACAGCACCCGAAACATTTTGAAGTCTCAAGACACGCCGAAGCCTCAACCTCCCTGCGATCCCTTTACGAGCCCCTCAGGACTGGCAGCTCTTCCGTGGCACTCCCAGCGCCGATGACGTCCAACAGGGCGAGTCCGCTGCCGAGAGCTACGGACTTTAGAGCTCGGCGCCCTAATGCCCGCATACCTACCCGCGTGCTTGATGACTCCTGCAACTGTCCCCCTTATATTCCCTTTGCTGCAAAGTCACAATCGTCTTCCGCAGTTTCTGAGGTCTTGTTCTCCCCGGTGCCTCGCCGTCAGTCCTTGTCAAGGTCCGATACAAAACCCTTTAACAACCCCCTCCAAGTCTTCCCGGTCATATTCCAGAATTCCACTACCAAACCCTATCGAACCCGAAGACCCAATGAAGTCTCCAAGCATCCCAGCTCAGGAGCGCCGCCACCTGTGAAACCCTCTACAAACCACCCAAGCTCCCCAGGTTGAGAGACCGGGATACAGCCTTGTTGACCTTGAATACACTTTATAAATACACGCACACACACACACACACACATATATATATATATATATATAAATTGAAAAATACGGTCACCCCCCAGGATCTAAACTATATATATATATATGTATGTATACATGTGTATACGTGTGTGTGTGTGTGTACATCTATACATAGATACCCCCAGGTTGGGAGACTGCTGGTTCCTCTCTTCGCTGGCTGCCATGGCCGAGTTTCAGGGCGGAAGGCTGGTGCAGAGGCCATCGGACACGGCGGAGGTTCTCCCGAGACCTAAGCCCAAACCCTTAAGTCCTGAAACACCTAAATCCTAAAACCCGTAAAAGCCCCGAACCCCTAAATCACGAAACCCCTAAACCCGAAATTCCAAAATCCTGAAACCCCTATATATACTATAAACCCATGACTGAGAGCCCTTAACCCCAGTATGAAACCTGAAACCCCAAACCCTGAAGCGGGTGGGAAAAAAAACTTGAAACCAAAGTGGAATTACCACTTTGCAGACTGTCGCAGGATGGAAAAAGGGTCGTTCAAAACAAAACCCTGAACCCAAATTAAACCCCCAAACCCCATGACCTGAGAGCAGGCTGCTCCCCGATCAGCGTCAGTTCAGTCGAGCTGGGGCCTGGCACACAGAGCCCGGGCGGCGATCGTCCCCGGAGGGTTCAAGGACCCAGAAGTCGTAAGGTTTAGGAGTTTCAGGGTATAGGGTTTAGGGTTTGGGGTTTAGGGTTTAGGGTTTTAAGGGTTTAGGGTTAGGGTTTAGGGGTATAGGGTTTAGGGTTTCAGGGTGGTGAGGGTTTGGGGTTTAGGCTTAGGGTATAGGGTTTAGGGTTTCAGGGTTTAGGCGTTAAGGGTTTAGGGCTTAAGGGTTTAAGGGGTTGAGGTGTGTTCTCTGGCACACGAATCCAAGCCCATGCTGAAAAAGGGTTTAAGGGTTTAAGGGTTTAGGGTTGAGGTGTCAAAAGGGAGAGCTCGAGAAGGGTCCCCTTAAAGGGATCCATAAGCGTTCTAGCAGGGTTCAGAGTCGACAGGGTTTAGGAATTAAGGCTTAGGGCTCAACATGGAAGCCTAAATACTTACCAACATGATTCCCTAGGGTTCGTCAGTATAGATAGACTATAAACGAGCCAGAAACCCTATTCTAATTATTAAGGCCCCTACATTAGCATTAACAACCGGAGTAATCATAGCTATACGAATATGCCTAGAACTGACTGATAGTAATACTAGTCGGAGTAGTGACATAAGACTAAGAATGGCAATAACAGTAATAGTATTAGTACACATAGTAATAAGAGTATGAACTGCATAAATCGTAATATTAAGGACAGTAATCATGGAAATTTATTTTACTGTCCCAACTATAATAGCCTATAAAGTACCATTACCTTAAGCGCCACAGCACCTAAGTATTGGGTCCTTCGGGCCCTTAGGGTCTTTTGCTTCATGTTAGGTGTCCCTGTGAAAGTGTCCTATAGAGGGGGTTTAAGGGGTAGTATGAGGATGTCGGACCGTGGCTTTGAGAATCAGGTTTAGTTAGTTTTGTTGGAATGCCGGAACTCCATGACCCTGCAGCCTGCAAAGCTTAAAACAGTGCTACGTCTATGTTCCACCTATACGGCCTCCACTGTAGGCCTACCTGGTGCGATTCTGGCTTGGTGGCCGCTGGCGGGATGTACCTACCTCGGATAGCCTGCTGGCCTCCACCCACATCGAAGTGTTTTGTCAGCCTGAATTGCGCATGCAAGCAAGCAGCGTTCAGTTGTCAGTCTATGTTCAGTTACTCCATAGCCGAACAAGGCGCAATGTGCACTGCCTGCTTGACCGCTGTACATAGGTCATTGTCGACGACCGCCTGCCATGCATCGGCAATGGTCTCGGGACGTGCCCTGCCACGCCGGACATGAATCGATTCAAGATGCCAGAGACATGTGGCTGGGAGCTCTCACATATGAAGTGGTTTGTGGGTTGTACATGGTTATATGTAATCCTCGACCCTGAGCCCTCGGTTGTCGTTCTTTCCGACAGGTACACGCAGCTGGCGTATTGCGCCACACGGAAATGCGCGCCGGCCCGGAAGGGTGGACTTCAAAGTTCAGCTTCCTCAGTAGCTGTTGTATGGAAGCAGCTCCTGCCTAAAGAATTTCGTGTTTAGGTTGTTGGGCTCTGTTGGCTATACGTACGTAGTTATTTGTTTAAACTTAGTATGATCATGTTTGTTTATTTGTGTATGCTTTTCATTATCATGGACATAGTTGTACATACAAGAGAGATGATGGTTATAAACCCTAAACCCTACCTGGAGCGCGATAGTTGCGCACTTTTTTTGCCACTGGTGCAAAACGTGGCAGTGGCAGGAATTCTTGCAACCGCGGCTAAAACTTGCCACTGCGCACTGCTGATGCAAATATTTCAGCAAATCGTTTTTTCACGAGGTCCTAGCAAGTGACAAAGCCAAAAGGCCAAATGCTAGTTGCATGATATTGCATGCTCCACCGTACAAAGTGGAAGTTTGAGCTGTACTGCTGTCTTTGAACACTGCAGAGGCCACGTCACGCCCGACACACGATCAAGCTTTGTGCTCTTATTGAGAAAATGGTGCTCAGAGAATACAACTTAACTTAGTGTGATTTCTCCATGTATGCCCGCACGCCCGAACATGCCCACAAAAAGTCGTCCCTGTTAGTCAGGCATAGAAGTGTCGGAAAGTAGAATAACTATTGAATATCAGATTTGGTCAATGATTTGGTGGTCAGTGTGTCGCACGCTGATTGGTTCTATCATGTTGTGGCAGGACCCCGTTCGAGCATTTTTTTAGCAAAATGGCGCAGGAATTATACGAAGCGGCAGTGGTGCAGAAGCCCGTAGGAGTGGCGCAGAAAGCCGTAGGAGTGGCACAGAAAAGCGTACGTCGTGTCGTTGTGCGATTTTGCCCATCATGTGAGCACTTGCCGTCCACGCTTGGAGGCTGTTCACAACAACCAGGCACTGCACATATGAGTTTTGTATAGCATCGCACTAGTGCGAACACATCCATCATGTCTATGCTTTCAACTCCCTACCAAAACAATTGCACAACTAGCATCATGCGGTAAGAATGTTGACCACCCAGTGAAAGAGGGACAAGATCACGTCTTGTTCAGAGACCCCGGATCGTTTCGAACGTGGCCAACATGCAACTGGGCACGCAACAAGCCAAACCACAAGCATCGGCACGAGCGAAGCATTCCTGTTTGCGGCGCCTTTTCCTGAACCTGAAGAGCAGCATGTGCGTTAAAATACCAGCATTGACATGGTGGCTCAACGCGTCTACTTCGAGGCCCTCATACCAATAATAATGACATACACTGGCCCCACCAGCCATACAAGACGAGTCGCCAAATTGCAGCTGCCAAAAAACATGCCACCAGTGACTGGTCACAACTCTTGTGCGCAACTATGGCTTTCCAGGTAAGCCCTAAACTCTAGATGGTTCGCCCAGGTCAACTCTGGGCCAGCATCATCGAAAAGGGCTTCGCGAAAGCCTGCGGCTCTTACGAGGCCCCGTTTGCAATTACAACTATCGCACAATGGGCCCCAAAACCCTATTCTATAATTATTTTGGGGGTTCCTGATTATAACTATAGTATAATGGGCCCAAAACCTATTCTAATTATTAAGGCACCTAAATTCTACCGGATAGCCATCAGCCTTCGCATGCTGCGGGCACCAGGGAGTGTGTAAGGATATGTCGAAAGCTTATTGGGACGACGTACAGCCTTGACCTGGAGCTTAAATTGGAGACTACGATCTGTAGCAAAAACTTCTATAGAGCCCCATTTAAAGCCCTGATGAAAAGATACCCCCATAGGTCAAAAAGCCCCAACAACTCCACCGACCCAGGCCTTGGCTGGCGGGGAGGCCGAGGTGGGCACGACCCGGTCGCCACTTGCAAGCTCTGGGAGTCTCTAATTACTGAAAGCTGTTATAGGAAACCTGCAAGTCTGCAGTTCACGGACCGAAAGTATGAGAGAGAGGTACCGAGAGTCAGCTTCCGATCTCCAGAGCAGCCCGGATCCGCCTGCAGGAAGCGCTGACGGTCCTCACCGGCTGGCCCTGCGAAGCCATCCAATTCGAAAAAGAGGCTGCCAGCAAACGTCGAGTGTAGCTCTTTGGAAGCCGCAGCTTCAAGTAAACCCTCAGGGCTCAGTGAGTAAGTAGTTGAGGTAAGACGGCTGTTCGGCCGAAGAATGTACTGAAACGTGATATAGGGCCGGTGCTTCGAGCGACGGGCAGCAACCTAGACTCTTGCACGATCGATCTAGTATGAAAGCCAGGAGTTTGATGCCGACATCCTTTGGGCAACGGTCTGCACCTCCAGAGATGCTTCTCGCCGGCAGCATTGGCAGCCGTGGATGTTCTTTCCAGAATCAGTCCCGGCAGTAGCAAGCTCCAAACATGATAGTTGCGGCATGAACTGTCCAGCATCTTATCGACATACTGGTTTTGAGCAGATAAACGAGCCCAGACACCAGCTGCAGGCGAAGTTCCTCATGACGGTGTCTACGCGGTCCAACAAGTCTCGAAGCGAGGAGGTGCTCGAAATCGTTGTTTGTGAGACGAAATTAATGTTTCCAATATGTAGGAACTCCAGGGGCGCATGGCTTTTGCTGCAGTGCGTAGCAGACTCCAGTAGGAATGCTGCTTGAGCGGTTGGCAGGACATTCGTGCGGCCGGGCTGGTCCCGAACCATGCATACTCTCTTATCGACGCCCGGGCCATAAATTGACTTGTGCCTTCCTGGGTCTTCAACTTCGGAAAGGGTGCTTTTATTGCTGGTCAAGCACGGCATGTAGACGCATAGACTTCTCCTGTGAATATCAGGTCTTCGACGTACTGGACAGTCGCCGGTGGCTTAGTCCAGTGGCCTAGACTGCCGATCAGCTGCTGATGGCATTTTCAGTTTGTATGTGTGAAAGGGATCAAGCTGCGACCTGTCGGTGCCAGGTGCAACATGAAGGCGCCACTGTTCTGATGCGGTCACACCACCAGTTGCCACCAAGCCTCAGGTGGGGACAGGCTCCGCCTGCTCAAGATCCGAAATCCGCATGCCAAGGCAGGCTTTCTACAATCTCCGCAATGGAAAAAAGCTCCTTCCCAAGAAGCGGTACAAAATCCACGCGCAACGTACGGCTGGCATGGTCAGGATCGATGGCGCGGCAGCTGGTCCGAGACGAGTGCCTTGGTAAGCATATGTGCTCTCGAACAAGGCATCAGATGCCTTTGTCCCAGCATTCCGAGGAGTGTCTGATAGTTGAGGAACCCTTAACTTCGAGACGCACTGTCCGAAGGTGTTGCACAAGCTTGTTGGGATTCAGGCCACTTGTGGACGCCGGAGCTTCGAGATCAGCTAGGCTGCCAGAAAGCCACCCAGGCTGGCACGGCGCGATGCAGATTCAGACACTGTGCTCTTCTTGTGAGGAGCGCAAACATTTCGAGGCATGCGCATGAATCTTTGCCAGGCTGGCATGTTCTTTATGTGCTTCGGCGACTTCTTGAGATGGCTCGGGCCCCTGGCTGTGGCCGATGATACCGTGAATATCGCTCGAAAAGAAACAGTGCTTCCACAGCCTTTTCTGTTCATGCGCCATGCTGGCTTTGGAGGCGTCGATCTCGATTCGCCAGCATAAATGCAGGTTCACTCCCGTGGCTGGGCTCTGTCAAGAGTCGTATTCGTGTGTCAACTTTCTGTATGTTCTGCTTTTCGCGCCGGATGCTTCAACATTCCGTTCTTTTGCGCAGACTGCGGGGATGCAGGCTGGCCACAAGCAAGTTCAACGGCGTGTCTTGGGATGCACGCTTGCAGAAATTCAAGGCGCAGGTGAGCTTGAAAGGGCACAACTATCACGCCGGCTATTTCGAGTTCGAAATTCAGGCAGCACGTGCATATGATGAGCGGTTGCGAGAACTATGTCCTGGTCCTCTTCGGTTAAAGAAATCCCTGAACTTTCCTACACAGGCAGAGGCACTTTTCAATGAAAGTGCACTTGAAGCTCGATCTCGTGCCCTCGCACATCACCACGCTGGCTTGGGGAATGCCGAGGCTGAATCTGTGCGCCGTTTGCAGAGCCTGTTTGGGTCTTCCGAACAAGCAAGGGACTACGAAATCACCGTTGTTGCAGGCTCCTCTCGGATTGACGCGCTTTTCCAGCCTAAGGGGTCCTCTCTCGGCGGGCTTTGTCTTCAAATCAAGTCTGCAGCTTCGAGAGGGAGCCGGAAACGCTCGTATGTCTTCCAAAAACTGCAGGGATACGAAGGGATGCTGTTGCTTTTGGTTCCCCGTGACCTTGAGCACGACGTGCTTTGGGCCGTTCCGGGAAGCTCGTGCGGGCTCAGGAATGCAATGGTGACCTTAGGCCAAAGCCGGGATAAGTCGTGGCGTGTTTACGACATCGGTCGTACCTTGGAGGACTGCTTCCATCAAGCACATGATTTTCCTCACTGCACACCGGGCGATGCCCACCTCCAGTGTGGCAGTGCCAACCACAGACTAGAAGAGCAGGCCCACCAACTGATGGCTAAGGTCCTCGCATGCGCTGGGCTGCTGCTTCGAAAATGCACAGCACTGCTCAGGCACACTGTCGATTCTGTGCTCAGTATGCACAGCACCGAGTGGAACGTGCAAGAGAAAGCATCCAGTCTTCAGAAAACGAAAGGCGGGCACAGATACTTGATAAACCTCAGAAGGCATGGCGGCGCTATGGGTAAAGCTGCCTACGGCCAACATGACTTTGACCTGCTGCTGGTTGCTATTATGGATGCTGGGATGCTCGTGGGCATGTTCGTGTTTCCAGCCGGCGTTCTGGCAGCCCGAGCACTGGTGGGACACAAGCCGGCGCAGTTCGTGCTATACCCACCCTGGAGGTCACCTGTCAGTTTGGCCGGCAGAGACAGGACTTCTTGGCAGTTGGATCATTTCGTGGATCTGCGTGAATGGCATGGCCGACCCATGCTTCCTCCTGTAGCACACAAACGCTTGCTCGACATATTCGCACAAGCAGAGCATTCGACCAACGTGGGAAGACCGACACGATGCATTGCTCTGGTCCCGTGTAGTGCTCTTGTCTTCATGGTTTGTAGTCTACTTGTAAAAGTCTGCAGGTGCGTCCTCAGTTCGTTTGAAGGTCATCTACTCAACAGAGGTGGTTTGTTGGAGACGTGGTCGTGCTCACATTTCTCTCTCCATACTAAACACACACCAACAGGTTGCTTCGCAGTCGAAGCTGCTTGGTTTTGTGTAGCTGAGCCGAAACATTCTATCCCGCTAAGCAGTTCTCGTGAATGGTGAATCCTTCGGTTAGCTGTCTCAGGTTCGAGCGCTGCACCATCTGCAAAGTGCGAAGCGACGGCTGGCACAAGGTGCGCAGATCGCGTAAGGGTATCAGCAGGGGAATGAAAGCCAGCCTGATTGCCGTTCCGACTAAAGGTTCGCATGCCGACGGAACTGCCTGGCGGTTTGGGCCTTCCCAGCTCAGGCTCGCTGCTCTTGGAGACAGCTGCCCTGTGCGGGTTTGAACTCCTGCGCCGTTAAGTGCGTACTAGTATGAGATGGCAGCTGCCTTATGCCTTTTATAATTTATCCTTGCTCGAATCACGATGTTTCGTTGGAAAAGTTCATAGCTTCAGGCTGGCTGCTAACAGCTTCTGCGACTTGGCGGCGCAAGGTCGATGTCGTTGTGCATTACACATGACCGGGTGTTCCATAGCCACGCACGGAGTCTGTTCCAACAACGGTTTCTGGCCAGACAGCACTGCACTACTTTGCGCCAACGCTTCTGGCCTACTTATGCATGTCGTGCTGATGGCATCTGGCCGACCCGATGCTCTGTTCAATCTGTCGGCAGCGCCATGTCTGAGGAGACGGCAGAGTGCTCTGCCCTCAGTCTGTCCGAAGTGCATCAGCAGGGTTCACTTCTGCAGTTGTGGACGGTCAGCCGCTGGCATCCTACTCACGCCAAGCTCACTCCAGCCCCGTGACAGGCTGCCTGACCGTCGCGCAGCCACAGGATCGCGCCAAATCTGGACCATTGCTGCGATCTCGGAAAGGTCGATCGCAGACAAGTCAGGGCACAGTCTGCTGAGCAAGTTTCTTCAGATACCGTGGCGACGACACGTGTTCTTGACAGTATGGCTGCGATGTCCGTCTGTGGCACAGTGCCTAGGTTTCGAGCATTGAACTTGGGCCCAATGGTCGTGGCTGGATTCGTCTTGGTGGGCACCCAAGTCACCTTGATCTTTCCATGTTGCTCTCCCCACCTCTCACTGTCGAGGGTTTGTTCATATCAACGGCCCAGCCGGCTTTGCATCGCTGACCGGCACCTTGCTCTCCTTTCCTTTATGTCCAAGCTGTTTGAGACCTCGGCATAATCGCTGTGCCTGTTGTTGAATCGCGTGATACTGAGGCCTCATTGCTTCAGAGTAGGTTTAACGGAAGGTGAACTCGGATTGAAGGTGAGGCAAAATGACAGCGCCAGAGATTCCAGAGTGTGTAGTGTGATGGATTTGTTTTTGGCTTGCTTTCGCATACTAGTGTGTTTTGGCGCTGTCTTGGCTGTTGTCCGTCAATACCTCATGAGCGGCGAAAGTGGCCTCTGCAAGAGGGTGGGGTTTCACCTAGTTACTAGTTGCAGTCTATCGGCCTGTCCGTCGTTTCTGGGTGATTAATCGGCTTACAATTGATGCAACATTATTGTTTTGCCTTTCTATTGGCTTTTCTTGACCTTATCAAACCAGACCTCGTTTCCAGGTCTACCTCGAGTAAAGAGGATTCCATCCTCTGATGCGGTAAGGCTCTCTGTCGAGAGGGTCCCAAACAACTCGCCTCGAATTGCTGGTTTGGTCAACCATGTTCTACATGGGAGTTTCCGAAAATAGGGGACCCTAATCTAGTACCCTAAATAGTAGGACCCTTATTATAAGGACCCCAAAATAAGGTACCCTAATTTTTGGAAACTCCCACATGGTATATGGAATGAAGCTTTAGACAAAGGCCATTTGGGGTTTGTTCTCTCAGGTCGAGGCCTCGAGCTCCCAGAAGCTTAGCGTGGCTGCAGTGGGGACCTGAGATCAGCACAGGAAGGAAAGGAATAGGGTTTAGGGTTTAGGGTTTAGGGTTTAGACTTAGACCTTCACAGGACGCGAAGAAACGTACATTGAGGTTCTAGGCCGCTGGAATGAGCAAATGCGAAACCTTCGCCTGCATCGTCCGAGTCGCGAGAGTCCAAACCCTGAATCCCTAAACCCTACTTGGAGGCCCTTTTGACTTAGTAAGTAGGGTTAGTAAGGTGGGTTATGGGGATTATAAGAGGGTTTCTAGGGGATACTAAGTAGACTTACTAAGTCAAAGGGGCCTCCAAGTATAATTCCTAAACTTCCAGGATTTCTCAGTGCGGGCCCCGAGGTCGGCCATCCTCGCTCCCGGGCTGTGGTGTCAGCCGACTGCTGGCTCAAGCCAGGCTTCTGGGCTTGTGGATTTTACGGAGACTGTGCGTGGCTATTTGGGGAGAGGGGGAATCCGAATTTAGGCTTTTATGGATGCTTCCGGAAGTGCTGCATGCGGCTGGCATTGCCATGTCATGCGCATGGAGGCAAAAATCGTCGGTACTCGTTTGAGGCGTTTCCTACTTCCTGCTGCCCCTGAGTCTGCACGAGAACACGGTCATGCCGGTGGCAGGCTCCCGAGATCAGAGCCCTGAGGATGGCAAAGGAGCTTGAGTGCAGTGCTTGTAGTATGGCAGCAGGTCGTGAATCCTAGTAACCCAAAATTGTATACAGTGTGTACCTATATATACAGTTAAGTACATGTGTATGTACATATTCAATCACTCAGCCATGTGATTAATGACACAATAAACACACACGCATGTATACATATTGTGCATGCATCATCTAATATAGATATAGGCAGGCATGTCAGTGTTCATTCTTAGGACATGCCGCCGCAGCGAGTAGTTACAGAGGCGATTGCTCATTCAGGTCTTCTCTTGCTTCAGCCGCAAAGCAGTGCAGATCCAGGAGCACAAGTTCTCGGAATCGGCACCTCGGTTACATTGCCCTAACCCTCCAGGTACCTACTATATAGGGCCCTCGGGGCTCTATACCCTATATAGTAGGTACCTGGGGGGTTAGGGTTGGTTACATGTTAAGTTAGGTTTCTTACCGGTCCACATTGTGATGCAGCACCGTCTGTTCATGCTGGTGTAGTGAGACTTGGAGATATGAAGCGCTGCCACCTCAGGCCGTGTTGGCTTCGTGGGGCGCATTCATAAAGCCACTTGACTGAAACGCCGGATTCCCCACTGTAATGGGTTTGCACGCAAAAGGCCGGCCATGTGCTGTAAACCTCACAGGTGTCAGATGCAGCCTGCAGGTTCTTTAGCTGTTTGTTCTTGGCGCATTTTCTGCTTGGCAAGGTCATCGGATCAATCGCCGGACAACTTCCATGGCGCAAAGCCGGGTGCCAAGAAAGCTACAGATGAACCACTAAAGTCGCTCGGCCCAGTAGACTTGCATTCGTAACACTTCTCCAGTCGGTGTGCTTTTGACTTTACTCTGGTATCCACATTGTCAGACTGGCGGCAGTGTCGCAAAACCTTTAATGATGCCTGTCTGTCTGTCTTTAGTTCGTTCTGTGGATCAGGTCGACTGACTTACTGTTGAGATGCTGAGCAGCTGACCTGCCACTTGGGAAGCAGTTGTCCTACCGAGGGTCTACACAGCCAAGAGTGGCGGTGGCATGGTCGCTTGCATGGCCTGGTTCTCAACGAAGCAGCAGTTTCCGAAATGTTGGAGACGGTCGGCACTGTGCACCTGAGACTTTGGGAAGTCCTTCATAGCATCAGCACGCGCCTTCAGAGAGTTGCGTCAGTCACCGTTCCTGAACCGACCATCCGGTTGCATAAAACTCTCGAAAAGATCAATTCTTTCGGGTAGCAGTTTCTGACCCTCTCATCATCATCTCATCTGCATCCCGCCACAAGGCCGAGAACCACAGCCGTGGGCACTTCGCAGCCGGAAGCCCAGCAGCTCCCAACAGTCCTTTCAGGGAGAAGTTCTTTTTTACTAGGTAGGCCAGTGGGACATTTTATATCTTGCCTTATTGGGCCTATAGAGCATCGTATCCACGAATATTTGTTCAGAGGCTTTGAGGGGCCAACCTAGTTCAGCATCTCACAGAGCCGAGGCTGAGTTGACCTTCAACAGCATTGAGGACGGCAAGCTCCTCTTCTCAAGGCATACCTGGCTGAAGTCATGGGGGTTCTTCCTTCCAGGCATCGCCATCTTTGCGATGGCTTCGAAGACTGACCCTAAATTCTAAATCCTAAACCCTGAAAACCAAACCCTGAACCCTAAACCCTAAACCCTCAACCGTAAACCCTCAACCCTAAACAATGGCAGAAGCCCTTCGTATGTCAGGCGCAGTGGGATCACGAAAGATTGGGTCGCGCCGGGGCAAGCTCAGATCCTCCAGGCCAGGAGTGCTCCATGGGTTTTTGGGGCTTATAGGGGTTCAATGGGCGTTTTATATAGGGTTTAGGGTTTAACGGGAGTTTTATGTAGGGTTTAGGGTTTATATAGGGTTTAGGGTTTAAGGGGTGTATACAGGGTTTATATAGGTTTTTAAGGGGGGTTGTATAGGGTTCAGGGTTTAATGGGTTTATAGGGTTTAGGGTTTAATGGGGTTTAGGGTTTAGGGTCCAGGCTGCACAGGCCCTGGAAGCTTAGGCAACTTCACGCGGCGAGTGTGACGTCTTCGAAAAGCTACAGACTCTGATGTTGGACAGTTTAGGCTCTCTACGTTTCCTGTGACAGCAACTGAGGGCCGTCTAGCCTGATCTCAGCAAGAAACATCTGTGCTTTGGTGGCTCAAGTTGCCATATTGCTCGGAGTATTCTTCGCCAGCAAGTAGCACCAAGCCATGGCAAAGCAGGTGCGAGTGATGAGGGCCGTTGCCCTCCTGGCAGCAGCTCTCATGGCTGCTTCCATTGCCAGCGCCTTCGTGGGGGTGCAGGCCCCCGCTCCCCGAGTGCAGACGCAGCTCCGTGCCGGCGGGGAGTACACGGGCTACTGGGCCCTTACTTAAAAACAAGTCGGAAGTTAAATCCTTAAGGGGCATCAAGAGTCAAGAGCCAAGAACTAAAGTACTAGAGTGCTTGAAGGGAAGCGAAGAACGGCCAAGGCTTTGTGCCGGACTTGCAGCGCCGTCAGCTGATGAACTTCGTGCTGGTGACCACCGCCGGCATCCCGGTGCTGGTGGCCTTGGGCTGCTACCTCTGGTACTTCGTGCCTCCGGTGGCCGGCGGTGGAAGCGGGGCGACGCTGGCTGGTGATCAGGAGGGCAACCCCATCACTTTGGAGAGCTGGGTCAAGTCGCACAAGGAGAACGATCGCGAGTTGGTCCAGGGCCTGAAGGGCGAGCCGTACTACCTCATCTCTACGGCGGACAACATCAAGGACTTCGCCCTCCTGTCCGTCTGCACCCATCTGGGCTGCGTGGTGCCCTGGAGCAAGAGCAACAACAAGTTCTGCTGCCCCTGCCACGGCTCGCAGTACGATGAGAACGGCAAGGTGGTCCGAGGCCCGGCCCCGCTGTCCCTGGCGCTCGCCCACACCACCACCCAGGACGGCAAGCTGGCCCTCACCCCTTGGCCTGAGAAGGACTTCCGCACCGACCTGGACCCATGGTGGAAGGTCTGAGCCTTCGAGGGCCTCAGTGACTGTCTCAGAAAGGTAGCATCTCCATAATATGGGGCGCAGCTGCGCATGCATGTCGCGCGTGCTGATGCGCTTGCAGATGGCGTGGAACACACCTCAGTTTTCCGATTCTCTGCAGCGAGTGATCCATGTTGTTCCTCAGAGTGCATGCAGCATCGGTAACTTTCTTCGGCAGTTGTGTTGTTCGATATGAACGTGGGGAATCATACCTCTCGGGTCTCGACGTTTCACGTGAGGAGATGCTACAACACGCGAGACTGCTACATAATTTCTCCAGTTCTGGAACGAAAGCACGGGCTGTGTACTCATACCGTTCACTTCAGAAGATGAACTCTGTAGTCCATGCTTACTAAAGGAACCCACAGCATGGCTGGGGAGTGACTTTACAGAACTGAAGCACCGAGACTGCTACATGTCGAAAAAAGGCTTCTTGCCTTGCTGCGACTGGCATGTCCGAGAATGGGAGACCCACCCCACTGTTGCAGGTGGTGCTTCCGCAAGGCTCGGGTGGGGGCTGGCGGAGCAACCAGCGCTACGAGATGCGCTTCGTGCGGTCGTGGGCCTGAGAATTTGTGCTTCAGCAGCTGCTGCCTCTAGATTTATATCAGAATGCCACTGAAACATCTCTATTATGCAGACCGCATAGGGTTAGCACACAATGATTAATTTTCGGACCAAGAGCAGAGCTTTGATGTTTCAGTGCAGCGCCGGCCGGCGCCGGCATGGCCCAAACATCTCTTCATGCGCGTGGCTTGGCTCAAGTTTTTTAATCAGTACAGCCCCAGCAGCAGAGTTCCCTGACATGGATGCCCGCCTCCGCCTTGCAAGAAGTTCTTGTAGGTCACCTTCACCCGCCAAGCAAACCCTCCTCCTTCGCAAGTACACCTGGAGGTCAGCAGCTGCCCCAAAGAAGTAAGATCGAAGGTTTGTATTATGTCAGATTAGTAGTCTGGTCATTTGTGAACCCTTGAACCGTTGAAATATCCCTAAACCCTAAACCCTAAATCCTAAACCCTAAACCCTAAACCCTACTCCGGCCTGCCAGAGTTCCCGCGGACTGCAGCTGAGCCGCTAGGCAGCGACTTGCAAGAGCCTAGAGTGGTCTACTTCTGCGAGAGGGAGTGGTTTAGGGTTTAAGGTTTAGGGTTTAGGGTTTAGGGGTGTAACTGGAGTCTCTGGTTTAGGGGTTACAGTAGGGGTTTGGGCCTGGGGCTTCAGGGTTTAGGGCTTCAGGATGCTTTAGGGCTTAGGGTTCCATTGTACCTCCTAGGGTTTAGGGTTTGGGGCTTCAGGGTTTAGGGTTTTAGAATGCTTTAGGGCTTAGGGTTCCATTCTACTTCCTTGTTGTGGTGTAGCAAACTATATATATATATATAGGATCCTATAAGGTACACAATGGAACTACAATGGAGACTATACGTAGTGGCTTTGGAGGACTACCCTCTTCAACCACTACGACCCTGTGGTTTGCAAACAAGACAGCCCCATAAAGAAACTGCAATGGAGACTATACCTTAAGAACCCAAAACCCACTTCTTTGTAGGTTCTTACTATAAACCCTAATATGGGATTTATAGGGACCCTACAAAAAAGTAGGTTTTGGGCGGTTTTGGGTTCTTAAGGTAGGCGTCATGCACATCACCCATCACCAGCCCTGAGCTGAGATCGAAGCTGATGAAGCCTTCTGGAGGCAAGCTTGTTGGGTGCTTGAGGGTCTTCCCGATATTACGCAAATACATGCATGCATACATACATACATACATACATGCATACATAAATACATGCATACATGCATAGATTACATGGTTGTATACCGTGTCTCTCTCTCTGTCTCTCTCTCTCTCTATATATATATATACATTGGTGTTATATATACACACACTCACATCGTGCAAGGTTGCTTTTTACAACCACTTGACGTGTCGTTCCGTTCAAGGCCCTTCAAACGTGCATCCTGGCCCTAGGCGGTCAGCAGCTTCAGTAACCGAGGTCCTGCAATGAAGCTCTTTGAACATGTAGTAATCATAACCCTGTTGTGGCCCGAAACAACTCTACAATTGCAAGATACCATACGCCAAAAACCATAATCTAACGATTACCACCCTCGATTCGGCTCAAAATCATCCAAAGATGGGCTTCATGCAGGTGGGCGGTGGGGCCCCTCGCTGCAACTCGTCCCCGAAAGATTCTTTCGGAAGTCACAGGAACAGGGGAGCTGGAGGTTCTCCGATCTAGAGCCTGATTGTGTGAGTTTGCTACAAATACCATCAAAGGGTAAGGAGAGTTCCGGCTACAGGGTGCGGGATAGTTTTTCGAAGCACAAGAGCTTAAGGGCTGAGAGTCTGTAGTGAAGCCGACGGTCAAACACTATGCCCCCTTCCCGCTTCAATCGCAGCAAGCGAGCTTGATGGTTACATAGACTTCGCAAATCAGAGACAACGGACCATCAGAAAGATATCGGCAAAGAGAGTGAACATACGTGGTTGTGGTGGCATCCGCTCTCTTTCTGAGACTCTACTCAGGATTCCTTGCACGGCAGGAGGCAAAATACCGGGGGAGATCCCTGGATCGAGAGCAGCTATATAGGAGGTCTGTGGGAGATTTCAGATTCTACGGCTCCTGCGGGGGTCCCAGTAAGCAGGGTCCGAGTATATATGGCCCGGAACGCAGAACAGCCCCCATGTTCGTTCTGCTCGTTTTGAGGCCAGTTGGCACAAGTCTGGGTTAAGATGATTTGCTGCAAGACTCCGCGTCGGCACAAACATGTGCCACTTGAGATGGAGACTAGTTTTGCTGTTGATTCCCGGAAGTGTAACTGCATGTGTAGTGGGGTACCATACTGCAGTCATGCCACATGAGACGAGCTTGCGTCAGTCTAAATCGCTGTGCATCACGGAAGCCCAGTTGGCTGTACTATGGGATACCGTACCGCAGTTGGGGCTTCCACTGAGAGTGGACTTGATTCATAACTCCGTTCTATGTGGGTCTTGTGGACGACAACACGAGCAAGGGTACTAGTGACCGCAGTTGTACTCTCACTTACGAGCCCAAAGGGTCGTAAGTTCCTACATATCTCGAGAAAAGTGTTTCTCTTGTAGGAGTGACTGGTATGGTTCGGGTAAGTATCTTCTCTGTATAGCTACCTAGGACCTAGGATCCTTTTTGGGATTCCCTGATTATTCGAAACGGGGGATGCATGAGGAGCGACTTCACCCACTGTCCATTTCAGCAAAGCTTCGTGCGCTGTGGACCACACCACCGAGCAGAGCTGTGTGTGCTCGACAAAGACGATGCTTGTCATGGGTGAGTATAGTAGTAGAGTAGGTAACCTCCAACCTTGTTGGGTATTACCATCCATATGTTTCCAAGGGTTAACCTTTAGTTCTTCTTGGATACTTGACAAATCATAGGTTTGGTTCTCGTTTGGGAAATTCGCAGGTTTGTATGGCTCAGGGCTATACATGGGTGCATGGGTGTATTTGCACATGTCCAGAGTACAGAGTTTCCGGGTTTGCACTCAACTCTACTATTTAAGCTGCCATAACCTTCTTTTGTGTAGGTTCCCATTAGGAAGTTTATCAAGAGCTTGTTATGGAGGGACGCTACATGACGCTACGAAAAGTTGGTGTTGGTACCCTGCCAAGTGTAGCGGAGTTTTCCGCGGAGTTAGAAAGCTGTCGGACCTTCGAAAGGGTGGACTCGGCTCTGCGGCTGCACCACTTGCTTGACACGAACGGATCTTGTACGAGTTCCCAATGAGTTCAGTCTTGGCATGTTGATTGAAGTTTAGGGCGTGTCTACCCTTTCCGATGTAGTGCTACGCTAGAAGCCCAGTTCATCTACAGTATTTAGGTCAGCGTCCGAGACAGCCATATTCAGCGCACTGTATAAGCAGCTGGGGCTTGTAACAAGGACATCCGTCGCTTGCATGGCGTCTGGGAGAAGTACAGGGACGATCTGACTTGGCCTGTGCATGACAAAAAACCGAAGTTCTCTCAAGAGGCAACTAGTCCGCATGCAGCACCTAATGGTTCGATTAGTTTCCGATTTTTGGTTGCAAGGGTAGGGTTTCAAAGCCATGAGTACTTTTGTTTTTCTTTGTTTGTTAGTAGTATCAGCACGGTGATTTCTAGTCGTTGGGTTGGGATGTCGCTACTTTTCCCAACGTCCGACCAACTGCTTCCAGTGTTCCAGGACTTTGAGACATTCTACGGCATTGCGCAGCAAGTTGTGGATGCCATGGTGGAGGAATACAAGGTGCCGATGATTCTGGATCAAGCGACCATAAGCAACACCAACCACATCGGGCACCCTCCACATTGCGCGCCTTGGCGGTTGAAGTGGACACGCCTCTCAAGATGTAGTGCATGACGGCCTCCGGCCACACTTTGAGCGCTGCATCGTTTCCGCAGCCCCAGACGTCCACATCCTGTTTCTGTTGCTCTTCCCTGAGCGCAGATGTTGATCCAAAAGTGTTGGGCCTTTATAATAGCGATGAATCTTCGCATGAGCCTTCCAAGCCCGCAGACTACCCTGCAAGCGGCAGTTGTTCTATCAACTACAAAATTAAACTTGCTCCGCCAGATGAATCTTACTGCGACCCTTAAAGCGGTTCTCCAGGACAATGTGGGCTTTGACTCTGTCTGGTGGAATGGTAGACGCATACGGGGAGAAGATGAGCTTCCAGCTGCGCGAGGAGTGGTGCTTCGTGTATGGGTCGAGGTTTGAGGGTCAATGCCAGTTTGGGTGCAGCTTGCAAGAAGCAATGGCACCATCAATCAATCCTGATGTGCAGAAATTACTAAACAGTAGAAAATGCCTGTGATGCACATGGGAGCCGCGATGCTTGGTGCTGGCATTGTTTATCTAGTAGTCAGCCCCGATTGATCTGCAGGCGGCGCCTACGTTCTTTGGAGGCCTGAGAAGACGTCATACAGGAGCGCGGGCATATCGGGTGGGTAGTTCCCTGAGCTATTTGTTGAGTTCGTGTAATATACTCGTAGAATTCCCAGAACGCCGTATGCCGATGATAGGCTTGAGGCTTGAACAGGGCTTGCTGACGAAGCATTGAGTTGTCGATTCGCAGCTTCCGGTGCCATCGCAGGAGTTACAGCTGTTCTGTGGCGTTATCTGATCCAAATGGCACCTCGGTGGCAAGCCAGCGGCACAAGGCGAGGCGGTACAGCTTGCCGGTGTACTGTTTTGCGTTGCAGCATGATGCTGTCAGAATCTTCTTTGCACCATCTCTTGTTTCAGCTGAGTCTTTATAGAATCTTCTGCGATGAGCACCAAGGCTACGAAGGAGGCGAACTTCAGTTCTTCGATACCTGGGGTGCAAGGCAGCCGGTCGCCACCTACAAGTGCGCTGAGGGCTGTGGTGTCGCCTTCTGCGGCTGCCAGAGGCATCCTGGCCGGGTTATGTTTCGGTAAGTGCGGATTCTGCGCACGGCGACTTGCGGCTTTTGACCGTCACAGTGACTCACTTATGTAGTCACATGGGCCATGCGGTTGCTTGCATGTCAAAGCTTAGAAGCCTTGCAAAGATTTTGAGAAGCTTGTTGTGATGCCTGACCTGTTCTTCGCACCGCAAGCCTTGGACCGCGAATCCAACCCAGACCCAAAGGAACATCCATGCAGTGACTGGTGTCAAGCATGGCTTTCGCTTGGTCCTACTCATTTGGACGCGACCTCCCGGCGTGCCCGTGCAAGAGGCTCAGGCAGGCCTCGGGGTTCTGGAAGACTCTGAGCGCTGAGCACTGATATATGTAATTGAATCTGAAGAATTAGACAGAGGGGGAGAGCGAGAGAGAGAGAGAGAAGGTGGGTAGGTAGGAACTTGCAGGCAGGTAGGCGGGTAGGCAGGAGGCAGGTAGGAAAGGTAGGTAAGTAGGTAGCTAGCTAGCTAGGTAGGTAGGTAGGTAATTGCAGGCAGGTAGGCAGGTAGGCAGGTAGGTAGGTAGATAGGTAGGTAGGTAGGTAGGTAGGCCGGGAGGTAAGTAGGTAGGTAGGTAGGTAGGCAGGTAGGTAGGCCGGGAGGTGGGTAGGTAGGTCGGTAATTAGGTATGATTTGGTATGAGTGGAGTATAGGTAGGTGCACGGAGGTTAGTAGGTAGTTTAGGTATTTAGGTAAGTATGTAGAACAAATGTGAGCAAACGTGATGCCCGCACGAGAGCAGGCCCACATCTGCTACTTCCGGCCTGGCACCGGCCACGGCTGCTGGCTCCATAGCCTGGTCCTTGGGCGGCACTTTGCTACGTTAGTTTAGATTCGTTATTTGTAAATTTCTTCCTGGGAGTAGAGACGTTTGAGACAAGTCTTGAGATATTGCTTGATTTTACATTCCATGTTCCGATGGAGGGCTGGATTTTTTTTGCCCACTGTGCCAAGAGGCATCCCTTCATGAAGGATGTCTGGGGCGTGGGCCCTACCCGGTAACCCTAAACCCGTACAGTAGACTACTAGACTCCAGCCCAGGATATCCAACGTGGGCTAGCGCAGCGCGCCGGTCGTCAAGAGGCCTGGCTCCCTTCAGAGGCCGGCAGGGCTTTGTTTTACAAAGATCCTTTCGGAGCCCAGTTACCTGGTTGCAGAATCACACATCCTTCTAAAGATAGAGAGAGGGGAGAGAGATAATTATGCAATCTAGATATGTGCTGACAAACTCACATATCAGATAGACAGGAGTTTATGTTATGTTTTGGGCCCAGGGAGAATCGCCTCTTGTGTAGAAGGTGACCTGGGGCTTCTGGGAGCATGTAGGCCTGGACTTCTTTCGGTACAGAGGCCTCAGGACAGGTGGGCAATCATATTCGAAGGTCGGTTTTCGAAGGGCTCTTCAAGCCTCGCATGCCCTGAGACATTGTTGTTGGAGGCTCCCCTTGACTTTGACCCAAAGCATCCACATCACTTTCGAAACGCAGGTCGACGATGGCTGCCTCTGCGACGATTGCGCGGAGGAGAGGGCAAAGGTGTCCTGGAAGGCTACCTGGTGCAAAGTTTCGGGGGTTTGGGTCTCAGGCTCCAGGGTTTTTGTCGGTTTTTGAGGATTTGGCTTCACAGCTTTGCAAGTTTTTGGGGTTCAGAGGACCTTCTACGACTAAGACACAGTGTAGCCGCAGGGAGGTCAGAGACCTTTTCGTTGAGGCCGTCTTTCCTAGCCGAACTGGAGTTTCATTCACGTCCGCGACTAAATCAACTTTGAGAACCGAAGTGCCATTTACCCACCAAAGAAGTAGAACCCCAACGTATGCATGAAGTTGAAGGCTTAGGAGAGTGCGGAACATACTTCATGCACAGTTCGAGATGTCAAGCTACATGAAACAGAGTTTAAATTGGGACGATATCAGATACTTCAATTTAATTTATGGTACATGGCATGGGAGATCACAGAATCGGCGCTGTTTTGCGTCCCAGGATTGCCTCCAGCAAGTCACCGAAGCATCAGCCGAGAAGTCGGACAAGGCTTCTACCTAAAGGGCTTAAGGGGTTTGCCGGGTCTCTGGTTCTGGGTGAGGGTTTGACTTCTGTTTGAGAAGCTGCAGAAATGTGAATCCGGAGCGACAGATGCTGGGTCTCTGGTTCTGGGTGAGGATTTGACTCCTTTTTGAGAAGCTGCAGAATTTCGGATTTGAATCCGGAGTGACAGAGGACCCCCTAAGTGCAATCGCATACCCCGTTTTCCCATTATATCTAGACACCCCAAAACCCGAACCCGTTCAAAGTTCTCACCCCTGTGTCCTGAGGCCACTCCGAGCACCAGTGCAGGCAGCAGCCCGCGCAGCCCAGTCACGCCGGACTCGGTGGGAGCCCGGGAAGAGTCAAGTGTATGGAGACTTCAATCTGTATGCATGTCAAGGAAGGTAGGTAGGTAGGTAGGTAGGTAGGTAGGTAGGTAGGTAGGTAGGTAGGTAGGTAGGTAGGTACTGCTCACTTGCAGTACAGGAGCTTGAGGTCAAAGGGGCATGAATGAAGCGACGGCGACATCTGAAACAGTAACTTGGAGCATAGTGATAAGGACCTTAGCAAGCAGTTCCCTCTTTGGTAACTCGGCTTGTTTGGCTTCAGCTATCCAGAAGAGAAGTGCTCGGGCATTGTCGACACCCGCTTTTGGGTGTTGGGGGATGGTCTCCGGAAATTCCCGGACGTTCGCAGGTGTAGGGCCAGGGTTATTGTGGGGGATAACGTCTTACATTGGTTTGACTTGGGTTGACGGCGGGCCGGTGAGATGCATTCCTATGGCGTTGGAAGATGTTTGGCTTGGGTGTTCGGATCTTTCCTATCATAGTTCAGAGAAAGCAAACGGCAGGCAAAACATCCCCAAACCGAAGAAGATTTCGAATTTCGGAGCCATTTCAGCGCAACTTAAACCATCGACGGAGTGGTTTGAGTCGACCCACTGCTTGCAAGTTTGAACACTTTTTCTATGACGCAACATTGCAAAATCAAGCTGAAGCGACGACTGCCTCCGCAGGGAAGAGAGACAGAAGATGCCACTGCGGTCTCGGATTTCAGCCGGCAGCTTGATTCGCAATGGCTGCATCTGCCGAACGAAGAATTCTGTATATATATATATATATACATACTGACTTCTAACATCACGGCGATGTCAAGTTTATGGCTTCGCGGTGTCCCGCTGGTGCAGCTGCACGATGAATAACGAGTTTCAGGGACGTAGACAGTTGTGGGCATACACCTCTTGGCATACGCACTCTGAGCAGTTTCGGGCCATCGCCTCCGACGCAATGAAGTCCTATACGTGCTATACACCATAAAGACCTTGAGTCCTGCAAATAGATGGCTGGACGGTAGAGCCCTAAACTTGAAATCTAGACTCGAAGCACTTCGTGCTGGCAGGCACTGCCCATACCAGCAGCCTCACAGATGGTGCAACGTCCATGAGCGCCGAGAGCTCACGGACGTCGTCGACCAAGATGACATCAGGAACCCCATCGCCCTTGGAGTTTAGGCTTTCGGATTTCAGGTTTCAGGAAGAGTTCAAAGAGTGGACGCAAGTAGCACGCTGCAGAGGTGCAGAAGGGCAATGTGCAGTGACGTCAAGATCTCGGCCCTCAAGACTTATCTACTCTCCCAAATGAGGCTCGATGTGCGTGTAGACTTTCTACTACTTGCACCATAAAGTACCTATATTTTAGGGCCTAAGTATAGAAACTATATGGGCACATGGAGCCTTAGGCTCCTCTGCACAACCCGCTTGCCGCTTGCAGGACCCTCCAGCGAATTTGGGAGAGGCTGCATCGGGATCAGTCAGCTAGTCTTACCTGATAAGGCATTGTAGGACTGATGGGAGGTAAGCACCTGTGTCCGCCTTCATGTTCGGTTCTAAAGCGCAGAGCTCGAAGTATAGTCATATAATCGGAGAGTCACCAAGCCCGGCTAGAATTTAAGCAGGCGCAGCCCCGACCCTTAAATATGGTTTTGTGTGTTTGCCCCAAGGCTACATATCGGGCACCGGCATTCAGCGGTCGTACCCTATGGTTTAAAGAGAACTGAACTTTCAAATTTTCAACGCACACGACACTTTGCTGCGATAGGCCCTCATCAGTAGCCCTGTCATCTCTTAAACCCTAAACATCCCTAAACCCTAGAAGCCCTATTCCCCCCATTTTTCTTCACAACCAAGTTGCTAAGTACGTCCCGATCCGAGAGTGCGTACCTGTCCAGGCACCAGGACGACCTGACGCGGCCCTTCTACAGAAAGAAGCCGCAGCTTCTCCCAAAGTTGCTGAATAGATAAGCCTACATCGTTACCAAGATCGAATCACGGTCTGTGCGCTCGTCTGTTTTCGTATCTATGTCCTTAAGTATGGGCTATCGCACTATCGCGCTTGTGATATGACATGTTGAGGACGTATTCGTCAGAGGAGTTTGATGACTTCAGCCGCATCGCGCAGAAGGTGGTGAATGCCACATGCCTACAATGGTACACTCTGGGGCGTTGCTTCGGTATTCGGGCCGTATGTATGTATGAATGAAGTATGCACGTATGTGTATATATGCACGTATTATATGTGCATGTACTGATGCATACATGCATACGTACAAAGATACATACGTTACATACAACCAGACATACATACATACATACATACATATACACACATGTCTTTGTATGTATATATAGATATACTTAGTTATTATTCACGTGCAAAGATAGGTAGATCGGTAAATCGACAGATCGATAGACCGATACAAAGACAAATAGATAGGTGGACACATGGAAAGATGGACCGGGTAGAAAGACAGATAGAAAGACTTATAGATCGACAGGTTGGTAGGTAGGTGGGTAGGTAGGTAGGTAGGTAGCTAGCTAGCTAGCTAGCTAGCTAGCTAGCTAGCTAGCTTGCTAGTTAGCTAGGCAGACCGTTTTGTAGGCATATGAATACACATATACCTACCTACCTACCTACCT